CTGAGTTGAAGAGCTGGTCTGACAGCAGACAGTACTGCAGGGATCGTGGTGCTGATCTGGTCATTATCAACTCTGAAGAGAAGCAGGTGAGTTTGTGTGAGTGTCTGTTAATGAATGAGAGAATCACACTTATTCCTGTTTTTATTCACACAGAGGTTCATATCTTCATTCATCAAGGACAGAGTGTGGATTGGTTTGTCTGACACAGAGAACGAGGGCATCATGAAATGGGTGGATAATTCAACACTGAAACCAGGGTAATTGTGCTACTGTACTTTGTACAACTTTTTTCTTTTTAGTTTTGTTGTTGATTAATAGAAAATCTGATACATGTTGTTCAGGTTTTGGCTCAATGGTGAGCCGAATAACCAAGACGGAGATGAGGACTGTATTGAACTGATGCCTTCAAATCCCGTCCTGAACAACTGGAATGATCTGCCATGCTCACAAAAGAGAAAAGGGTTTTGTGAGAAATAGGGTTCATCCCACCTTTTTATGGTTTTGCTTCAAAGTAGTGGATATTCATATGAATGGAAAATGTAAAAATGTAATTCTTTTTTATTGCTATAATAAACTCAAGGGCAATAAAACATTCACAGAAAACCACTATGGATTTATTTGTTTTAGTGTTTTTCCTCATAATCTCATTTTAAAAAACGAGACCATCACAAGCTGAAGACACAACTCTTCCACACACACCAAAATCAAAACAAAACTTTACTTTTCTGCACCTTCACTTTTGCTGTAGCTTCTGTGACAAGTTTACTTTTAACACGTTATACAGGTTTTGGTTTGTAGAAGAGCCAAATAAGGTAGGCAGGAATGAGAACCGTATTGAACTGATGGCCTCAGATATCATCCTGAACTGGAATGATCTCCAATGCTCTGATAAAAGGGATTTGTGAGAAATAGTGTTAATCCCATCTTGTTGTGTTATTAATGCCATTATTTTATGGAAACAGTTGTGATTGTGATCGACTAGTTTCTGATTGTTTCTGACAGTATGCTACTTTAATTTTATAATTAATTATTTTTTTTACATACAAGTGCAAAGTGTCCCAGATTGCCCTAATTCACCCTATTATGCTGATGCTGGTGTCTGAATAAAATGGTCAATAACCATTAGTAAACCTACAGCATTTCCTCCGGCCCAGAGAACAGATTTATTCCACTTAGTTTCTAGAGGGCCGCAGCCCTGCAGAGTTTAGTTCCAACACACATGCCCTGCAGTTTTCAAATAAGCCTGAAGGACCTGATTAGTTGGATCAGGTACGTTTAATCAGATGCAAAGTGTTGGCTGAAGTGTTTTTCTTCCGATTTATATGTTTATGTTTCACACACTTATGTCCTTTGACAATAATATCACTAATTCCAATTCTAAAGAATTACTGTAATTTGTACTGTTGTTAGAGAATTGTGTGATCTATTACAAACTCTGTTACAAGCATTACTAGAGAGAGAGAGAGAGAAGTGTTGGAGTTTTGAATATTTTTCTAGAAACATGTCAGAGTTTCTGCTTTCTTATGAAGTGTATTGTCATGTGTAACCCCTCCGGTTCTATTCTCCTCATTCTTGCTCCGAGCAGAATTTGAACCAACGCTTCCAGCATGGGAGGTGGGCACGCTAACAAGGACGCTAAAGACCGCAGTCTCTAGCATCCCTCTTGAGATCAGGGGAGTGAGGTTTACTCTTACCAGCTGGCTCTTACCAGCTGGCCTCCGTTACACATATAATTATTTTCCATGGAATTTACTTGTTAATATGTTATCGTATGACAATTAGAGATGTTTGTCATTATAAACAACATACTCTCTAAATGGCTGTTTATTGTCTAAAGACAAAGGTGGATTACTTTAGTCCAATTTAAAGACCAATTTAAAACATTATTTCTAATGTGGAGTGTATTACTTGATGTTTGTGTGTTTTCGTCCTGTTTGGTGTTGATCACAGCAGGGCCGTAACCACATTGAGGGACTAGTCCTCCCCTGATAATTAGATATGGTTTAACTGTCCCCCTCAATATTTGATATTCTTGATGCTGCTCTGCTGTACTTCTTGACACACCTCTCTGTTTGTTTTAAAGGTTATATTGTTGGACTGGTCTGCCTCAGTGTTCTAACAGCCCTCATCAATGTCAAAATCTTTGAGGTGGCCAATCAAATCAAAGAGTGGAGATTCCAGCACGACACTTCCATTTTAAAGGTTAAAATGAGAGCGAGGTAAAGATGCAAGTAACTGAACATTTAATATTTGCGAACTGGTTGATAAAAATCAGTTATGTATCCAGTGATGCAAACATCTTGACCTTTTTGTCAAATCACAATGAATTGAATTGAAAATATAGACTATAATATAGGCAGATCCTCGACTATAACAACACTAATTAGTGAAAAAAATAACAGCTGTTTTTCGAAAAATTGAGTATAGGGTTAAAAATATATATGTAATCTGCATTCATATTCTAAAATAGTTCAAATTCTAGTTCTTTAACTAACTTTTCTTTCTTGTTGTTCCCTTAAACTGCTGAAGACAGCTCTTTTAAAAACCACAACCATAAATATATTTGACTAAAAGAAAAGAATTCTCTATTTCACATTTCTATTCTTTCACTTCTGCTTTAGCTTCTGATTAACTTGTCTTTGCAGCACTGACAGGGGCGTTTTTCCTCTGAGAATTCAAGGGCTAAGTCAGTGCTTCCTTAAAAATGCATGAGAAAAAACAAACAGTACTAATATAAAACGATGCAAATATTACAAATGTTACAAATCATGAATAAACATCATGTCTTATGTGTACACATACAGTATATAACAATGTACCATCATATACCAAGCCTCCTTTGTCTCTGCTAGTAATCTCCTTTAAAGGAGCGTCTGAACAGCGCCAGGTGTACTCAATGGACTGCAGATTGGGGTGAGTCGTAGGCGAGCGTCCAAATTCAAACAATGGGAACCATCAAATGTTACACTCTAAAAAATGCTGGGTTGTTTCAACCCAACTTTGGGTCAAATATGGATTAACCCAACCATTGGGTTAAAATTTTACATTAAATGTTTAACCCAGAAGTTGGGTTAGTCCATATACACTCTAAAAAATGCTGGGTTGTTTCAACCCAACTTTGGGTCAAATATGGAATTTTACATTAAATGTTTAACCCAGAAGTTCGGTTAGTCCATATTTGACCCAAAGTTGGGTTGAAACAACCCAGCATTTTTTAGAGTGTACATGTGCAAATATAGTCTTAAATACAGCAACTTTGTTGGCTGCAGTATGTGTTGTAGCATTAAGGTGGGAAACGTTGTGTATTGACACAGTCAAATTTCACACGTTCCGTTTACAGACTTTTGGCCCCATCCACCCTCCATACAAGTCGAACACCTAATATCTCCATCGCTCTATGCTTGACCTATTACTCTCATTTTCGTGTTCATTCCGAATCCGCACATTGGTCTGAATGAATTTCATACTAGTGAATTTATTTAGTGCCAATGACTAATTAAAAAGTAAGTAGCTCACCTAATTAGATATCAACGCTTTGTCACGTCACACTGAAATGACTTGTAAACATGATCTGCTGAAAAAAAACAATAGAAACCATCACAGAAATTCTAGTGGTTTCCGCTACAAATAGCATTACAAACATTACAAACCATCACTTATTAACCATTAAAACCATTAAAAATGGTTTCCTGTAGTGTGTTTTGGGACATATTCCATTAGGATTTAGTGGTTTTAACAAGCCACCAATAGAAGGTGACCAATTACCAGTAGAGACCAACAGGGACCATTACAGTTTCCATTAAATCCAATACAATTCCCATTATAACCAGTAAAACCATTACAAATCTGTCATGGTGTCTATTGTTTGTTTGTTTGTTTTTTCAGCAAAAAATCTAATTAAAGCTACATCTCCGTGTCTGTGATCATTATGATTCCTGCGGTGTTTAGAGCTTTGATGACTGATGATCTGAAAATAAGTTGACTCGTAAAAACAAACTGAACATCAGAAATTAAATACACCTTATATTTGTAACTGCGATCTTTGATAATTATTTAGAAATAAATGCGAAGATGCTTAAAAAGCAAAAATAAAAAAACATACAAAAAAGTATTGAGCATTTGGGGTTCTGGATCATTTAAAATCTGCCACATTTTATTCTAGTCTTCAGCAAGACAGGTAAAAACAAACTGAACATCAGAAATTAAATACACCTTATATTTGTAACTGCGATCTTTGATAATTATTTAGAAATAAATGCAAAGATGCTTAAAAAGCAAAAAAAAAAAAAAACACAAAAAAGTATTGAGCATTTGGGGTTCTGGATCATTTAAAATCTGCCACATTTTATTCTAGTCTTCAGCAAGACACGCATACAATCAGATAACACCAAAGTAAAACTCTTCTGAATAAAAAAAACTATTAAGATATTCTCAACAGCCAAAGAGCAGCTGGTGCATAGATGTTTTTGGTTATGCGATAAACTAAACTAAACATAAGCTAAAGAAAAGATCTGTCACTTTTTCCGTTTCATTGCAACATTTTCTTATCTACCATCAGCCTCTGTCCCTAGCCATGTAAATTATTATTATTATCCCTATTATTATTATCAGAGTTTGGGTGTGAGGATAGTTTTAAACTGGAAGTGTACATCCCCATTAAAGCCAGCGTCAAATGAAATCACTTCCTCTATAAATTTAGCACTATTATTAAAAAGGTAGTCATCATTCTGAAGATGACAACTCATTGGTGAAAATGTACAGCAAGACACAGGAGCAAAACATGGAATTAGAGGCCATTTATGAAAGTGATGAAGACACCACTGGACCTCGAACACTGAGTCACAGCCAGGCTAAAGGAAAAGCTCGAGAGTGCAGTAAGTAGAAAGTTTAATTTGAAGCAGAAACAGTGTCAGTAATGTTTGAGGAAACGAGAACTGTTATATCTACAATTTCAATCATTGCTTTCTCAACTACACTCTTAAAAATAAAGGTTCTTCACAATGCCATAGAAGAACCTTTTTGTCTAAATGGTTCCATAAAGAACCTTTAACATCTGAAGAACCTTTCTGTTTCACAAAAGGTTCTTTGTGGCAAAAGAAGGTTCTTCAGATTACAAAAAAGTAAGAAATAGATGGTTCTTTAAAGAAACTTTGACTGAATGGTTCTTTGTGGAACCAAAATGGTTCTTCTATGGCATTTTAAGAGTGTTTATGTTATTAACAAAATTATCTATTTTCTATTCTATCAAATTTTTTCA